AGCCCAGCAGGGAGAGAGCAGGACAGCACAAGGTCAGGAAGAAGAGAAGTTCTACCCAGCAGGGCTGGACAAGTGCCCGGCTGTGCAGAGGCCGCTTGAGCCAGGATGAAGGTTTTGGCTGCTCTTTGCTCCAGTGTCTCAATCTGAGACCCAGAAAGATTTTCTCGTAAGCATGTAGGAATGGGGAGCTCAGAAGGCTGAATAAAAGGAGAAAATGTGGGTGTAAAGCATTGATACATGGTGTCCCCTCCACAAGGGGACATACAGTTACACTTCCCAGGGCTTGGAGTGGAGGACAAAGGGAGGAGGCCAGAAGAAGCAGCAGAGGTGAGGCCCATGCTGGTCCGGCAGTCACCCAGCCCCACAGGGCTGCAGAGCGCATGAAATGCAGGGGGTCTGACTGGAGAGGTGTCACAAGTAAGGCACATTGTGGGATGCAGAGAGGTAGTATGAACAAATGACAGGAGATAACTCATTCATAAATTTTGATGTGAAGTACATGTAGAAATTATAATGGGATGTATTGGGGTTAAGAAATCATTAAAATTAATTTCATACATTACAATTTTTTATGAATGAATGTAGCAGCTAGAAAATTTGAAATTACAGATGTGGCTTGCTTAATGTGTACTTGGATGGCATGGGGCCAGACCAGCAGTTGTCATCCCTGTCCTTTGAAGTTGGTCTTGCTCCTTCTGCAGCTGTCCTTTTGCTCAAACAAGTCTGAAAATCAGGCGATAGGATCAGCGCCTCCTCACCCTGAGTACCTTTAGCCTGTCAGTCTGTCTTTTCAGCCGCTGGGTCCTCTGTCCTGCTCCTCTGGTGGGCGTCATTATTACTAATCCAGCTTTCCCTGCCTGATGGTCCCGCAGATCCACACTGTTCCTTAAAATTTTCATTCTCTTCATGGCTTTTAGAGATACAATTTGTGACCAAGGCATATAATTGACCTCGACTTTTTTGTGTGTGTGTGTGTGGCAGTACTAAGGATTGTTAAGACTATTAAGATCTTCACCTGACCTATGTCCCCAGCTCTTTCTTAAAAAAAGAAAAAAAAAATTATTTTGAAAAAGAGTCCTTGAGTTCTCCAGGCTACTCTGGAACAGGTGTTCCCCCGGCCACAGCCCCTCAGGCGCTGGGATGACAGGTGTGTGCCGCCACTCCCGCCTTCCCCGACCTCCTCTCCAGCTTGGCTCCAGCTGTCCCCTCTCCAGTGCTTCTCCTGCTGTGGTGGCCCTTGTCCCGCCCGCACTCACCACAAACAGCCCACTGGCTAGGAGTCAGAGCAGGGTGGAGCCACAGCTGTGCATCTACTCTCAGAAAAGTCACAAAATCTCTCTGAGCCTCGTTTTTCTTCTAGGAGAGAAATAATAATAGAACTCACAAGTGAGAATTTTTATAAGGGTCACATGTGGTATTGTACACATAAATGTCACTGTGGAACATTTCCTAGAAAAATGTGCCTTCACCCTTTCCCTGCCTCCATGAACAGATATATCCTACTGGTCCGCTGCAGGGCTCTCGCTGGGCTGCCCCAGCATCCAGAGTGTTCCACACACTCAGCTTTGCTGCCTATCTATAGCCAGCTAGTTACCCACCATTCCCACCTCTGGATCAGCAGTTCTCAAAGGCGTGCACAGGAACAGCAGATACGGTGCCGGCCGGCATCTCATTACAAATGCAGATGCCCAGGCTCCATCCCAGCCCTACCCAACCAGACAGAAGCTCCGGGGCTGCAGCCCCAGAATCTGTATTTTAACAGATGCTCTAGGCGAGCCTGTTATTCATACATTTAAAGACAACAGCTGGACTGGGTCTCTCTAGCCGGGATTGGGCCCAATTCATCTTGAATTAATGCCCAACTCAGTGACTATTTGTGAAAAACAAACAAACGAACAAACAAACAGAAAATGGTTGGATGAACCCTGATTCAGTGTGGGCCATGAAGGGTATAAGCAGAAGGATGCAGGAGTCTGTCTTTTAGAAGGTTAGTTCTTAACAACAGCATAGAGCATGCATTAGAGGGGGACCTTACAGGGGCAAGAGGGTTTGTTTATAGGAAAATTATTTGAAACTCTGGAATTATAATACAGATATAAAAAGTACTTATTTACAAACATTTGCCTTGCTTTTTATAATCTCCCTTACTAGATTATTTTAAAATGTATTACTTTCATACTATAAGGAGTGTTTGGCAAATTTGTTTAGAAAAGTATTTCTATATGTAAAATTTATCAATAAATATACTTTCTCATAAAGTGTTACTTAATTTAAGAAACAGTTCTAAAATTTTATAAAGATTTGATATTCATAAATTTCTAAGTATGAAGCACAGCCTAGATTAAAAAGTAAAATTTTATAGCAAGTAAGTATATTTAAAAGCAAAATTTAAAAAAAAGCAAAATTGCTACTTGAATTTCAATATTATAGAAATAATAGCATCGTATTTTAAAATGTATCTCGGTATAGATATTATATGTCACTCGTTTTATTTTGAATTGAAATAAAAATGCAAAGCCATTCTCTAGAAATATTTCAACTAGGGGCGATTCATGTTCAAGTTAATAAAAACTATTATCAAAGCATAATATAAAGAGTAAAGAAAACCCCCAAACATGACTTTTTTTTTTCTTTTTTTCTTTTTTTTTAATGAATTTAGGTCAGAGTCTACAGGGTCTATAGAGTCTCACTCCTAGTGATTCTCCTGTGTTCAGCCTCCCGAAGAGCCGGGATTACAGGCACGCGCCACCACGCCCAGTCTCACTTGCCATCTCAGCGCGCCCTGGGGACAGGGCCGGCAAGGCACGCCGGGGATCGAACCCGCGCCTCTACGCTCTGCCTAAGCAGGTGCTTTAGTCCGCTGAGCTGTCTGGCCGGCCCTACGACTCTTAAGCAAACTACAGGGCTGAGCAAAGCCCGGAGGTTGCTGGCCTCGCATGCCGCGCCGGTCTGCACCAGTGGGTTCTTTCCTCAGCCCGCACAGTGCGCAGGTAGTTTTTCCCCCTTTTCCTGGATCGTATGTGCTCTCCGCTATGAAGCGAGTCCGTTTCGCTGTTTGCACATTGAGGCCTCCATTTGGAGTCCTCCGTGAGGGCCGAGCCCGTTGCTCTCCGCCCTTGCTCCAGTCTCTATTTCCGCAGCACAGCAAGTCTGCTGGAGCGGGGGCGCCCTTTAAACCCCGTGCAGCACCCCCTACTCTGCAGATGGTTCCGGGCCTGAGCACACGCCCCGTGGAGGTCCATGAGATGGGATGGAAGGTCTGAGGGGGCTGCTGGCCAGGAGGCTTTGTTTTCTAGTGTAAGAAAACATCGGTGGGAAGAAGTGCTTTTGCACCCGTTCTTTCACTTCTTCCCTTAAAAAGTACAGTGTCAGTTATCCTGGGACCACAGGGCTGCATCTCAGGGAGAGAAGAAAAGTGGGAGCAAGCTGGAGACTGGGAAAGAGAGACCCGTGGCACTGAGAGAGGAGAGATTAGGCGATTAAACAGAGAGCCTACTAACCTGTTTTGAAACTGTTTCATTGCTATTTTATCTTTTTTTTCTCATTAAAATGAATAAAAAAATCAATCAATAAATAAAACATATAAATAAAATTTTCCTATAATTAAAAACAAAAACAAAAACACACAAGAGCCACCAGAGGACACATCCCCAGGGGGATAGTAAGAGGGGCAGAGAGAGAAGGGGCTCAGCGGGCAGGGGTGGGACAGGGGTGGGCAGAGACCAGGACAGGCTGGGATGGTAGCGGGTTCCGGGGTGGCGGAAGACGCCAACAGTCTTAAAGTCCTGGTTTCCCGTGGCCCTTCAGGCTTGACAGCTCACCCATCTTTTTTTTTTTTTTTTTCCCTGCAACCAGGGATTGAACTCAGGCCCTTGCACTTGCCAGGCAAATGCTTATTCTACTGAGCCATCTCCCCAGCCCCAGTTCACCCATCTTTAAACAGAAAAAAGTGAATACTTATACTTCTGAAATTTGGTCCATTTGGCCCACTGGATCCAGTGTAGTCTGTGCGAATGACCTTCTCTTGGTTCTAGCAGATATCTCCTGTACCCAAGACCGTTATGAATTTGGGTGAACTGGTCATCTAAAGACAAAGAAAGATACTAAGTGGTAAGAGTGTTGGTTAAACAATAATAGCTTTAAAAGAAGATCCCAAAGTGAACAAAATAAACCAAAAAATTCCTGTGTGAAATGCTAACATTTCTGTTATAGTTATGAGAATATATGTTGAAAGATTAATAGTGAAGTTCAGCGTCTTTTGCTTTTTGTTATTGGCTTTTGAAGTGTTTCTAGACATGAAATGCCCATTTATATAGTTGTCTCATTTTTCTATTGGTTTGTTTATCTTCTTGTTTGTATGAATTTACTGCCTGTGATATATATGTTTCAAATATCTTCTCCCAATCTCTCCCTTGGCCTGTAGTGCATTAATCCATTTGAAATTTATTGTGGTGTCTTGTAGGAGACTGGAATATAATAAGATTTTTACATTTAGAAGTCAAATTTCATAACATCTTTTGTTGAAAAATCTGTCTGGTCTTCATTCCCATGCAATGCTGGCTTGTTAAGAGTCTGATGCGGAAGAGTTTGCTTCAAAATCACCTCTTGTGTGTTAGCCAATTGATAGATAAATTATTGCACATGGATTATTTATTACATCACTACTTAGAGATTCCGGTTGCAAAATTTTTTTTACCTGTTTTCATTTTCTTTATGGTTACAGTTGAGATGTAGAATAATTTTGTCAAGTTAAAGTAGAAATGCTGGCATTTGGGAAGTTTGTTGAAGTGGATGGAGGACAAATGATATGAAATTTTGCTTTATTAAGTCATAGTGTGAACATGCAACACACCAGCCTCTTCAGTCAGCAATACTTAGATTGTGCATTTTGAAGTCCTTAACTTATGAGTCTTCAAGTGATATACAGGTGGCTGGGACCACTAGCATCCATTCATCCATTCATCCATTCATCCATTCATCCATTCATCCATTCATCCGCCATGCACTCATTCATCATCTTTCATTTGTCAAGATGGTTACCAGCAGATGTGAGAAGAATTCTCGGCTCCTCTGTGTCACCTCTGTCCCCCTCACAGGTTATTGTGCAGAACCTTCTCCTCTGTGTCATCCTGTTCTACACAGTGTACTACGTGTCTCTGAGCTTGTGCAGCCTGACCCTCAAGTAAGTACCATTGCTCTCCAAACAGAACTAGAAAGTTAATGCTAAATAGGAAAGGAGCTTATTTTTAATATTTGACATGTCTCTAGATTTGAGAATGCAGGGATTTTTTTTAGTGAATTTAAAAAATCTTTTGTTGTTGGAGTAGAAATAAGATTGCTCCATCTTTAAAAAGGGTAAAAGTAACTTGTGAAGAGACACAGGCAGAACCAGGCATCTGGTGTTACCTCAGTGGTGGGACAATGATGGGCAGAGCTACAGTGGCTCCCTGGTTGGCAATGGATCAGAAGAGGGTGAGAAGACAAGATGCTAAGAGATCATCTCTAGCCAACTGCAACGTTTTCTAGTGCTGGAAGCTGCTTGGGCTGTAGGTCAGGGCCCGGCACTGTGGCCCAGATTCTGATCAACTTCCTGTCTCATCATGACCAAGCCAGGGAGCTTCTTTCATTTCAGTGTCATTTGTCAAATGGTGGTAATAATTCAGAAAGGGTTATCATGAGGACCAAATGAAATTAACACATGTGTTTTTAATGCTATCATTTCTATGTAAGTATGAAGCATTATTTTTCAGGTAATATTTGGTCTTGTTATGGTGAAAATCTTCAGTACAAATTTAGGTAGCTGATATGTTGGTTGCCTTGAAATAAACTATATTTATTTCATGTAATTTCCTACAAATTAAGTATTTATGCAAGTTGATGTCATTGTGTAAGCAAGGAATACCATTTTAATAAGCAAATTAATATCCCAAACTAATTATACAGACTTTTGCAGTGAAAAGAAAGTACAGAATGCCTGCAGGCAAACTCAGTGCAGGAATTCTAGAGTTCACACCCTCTCTGCTGCCTGGAACAAGCTCGAGGCAACTCTGAGCTCAGGATTCAGGAGCTCGGAGTTAACAGGAGTCAGTAAAATGGCTCTTCAAGCTCCCAGTGGCAGCTACTGGGGGTCCAGCTGCACACTGTTACCAACTTGGGCACAGTAGGAAGATGGTCTACATGCTTTATAGACTCAGGTTTTAGAACAGGAAGGGATTCCAGCAATAATGATTCTTCAATTTACAGTTAAACAGAAGGCCTGACAGGTTAAGTGGCTTGTCCTAATTCACTGGTAATGCCACTCAGACTAGCACCCATGACTTGTTGCTTGCTCCATATTGAAAGTTTCCCTCGCATACTGGATGGAAGGAACTACTGGGGCGGTCGCTACAGCACCAGACACAACGGAAGCCACTTTGTGGACAGAGTGAGAGGAACTGACCAAGAAGACAGTGTAGCTAAGAAATTTGCTGGCCATCTGTGCCGGCCAGCTCTTAGCTGTACCCAAGTTTCATGGGTGAACCTGACAAAGTTTGTGGACTGTGGTGGGCATAAACTTGATGCACCGTTGAGCCGTCTCCTCCTGAGTGAATGCTTTTCATTTGCAACACCTCAGGGCATATGAGTTGGATGTCCTGGCACCGTTTGATTTCAAAACAAGCCCTTCATGGCTGGACACAAACTACAAAGGTAATTTTTATATTTTTAATACTTATCAATAAGTGAACCATGTGCCTCCAAAAATCAAACTCGTTTTAAAAATACGATTCCAAAAAAGTCACGCCTTCCTTCCAGTCCTCTGGACAGCATATCTGACTTTAAAAACTCAGTAGGGAAAGCTTCACCCCAAATTTCAAATGAAGTCATTTTAGGAGGTGGGGTGTGATGGTCCCAGTGTAGGAAGGCTGTCAGGATGCTCATAGGAACTTTCATTTTACAGTATTGAATTTTTGCACAAAAAATGCATTTTAAAGGAAAAAGAATGGTAGCGTTCATGACATATGAGACATAAAATGAAGATTACAAAGAAGTTTGTGTAGTGTAGTTTTATTTTTGAAAACTAGAGTAAGATTCCTGGCGCCAGTGGGAGGATGTCTGGAGGATTATGCAACAAACTGCTATTTTCCATCTGGGATGACAGAGAAATTTCATTTTCTACTTCGTACATTTTTGTTTTGTTTTATTTTTCTTCCCAAAGTAGTGTAGAATGTACTGCAGAGGAAATGTTCTAGAACACAGTAGGATAACAAGGTGGACACGATTAATTGAATATTTCAAATAGCTGGTCAAGAGGATTTGTATTGTTTTCAATACAAAAACCAATCATGTCTGGGATGACAGATGGGGCAGTGTGAGGGGCTGATCACTTCCCATCATACACATGCATCAAAATATCACTCTCCCCCATGCTCTGTAGTTACTTGTGTCATTCAAAAAATTTTAAAAAGCAATTTGTTGCAGAATAGAAACAATAGCAAGCAATATACTAGGACAAAATCTATCTTTGCAGTTTTGCATTTCTGTTTAATAAATACTGTATACCTCGTATGATCATAACCCTGTATGCTGGTGAAAATGCCTATTTGAGTATATGTTGAACATGCCTGTGTTGGAGTGTTCATGGTGAGTTTGCCTAATCTTCAGAAGAGCAAAATTTTGATGTCACTTTCCATGATAAAATAGTCCACATTTAACTAATGAAATTTTAGGCAATATCAACAAGTGGAAAGGAAAAAATATCATTAATGTTTTGTGCATAATTATTCTTCTTGATAGTGTTTTCAGTTTCTCCAAGTTTTAAAAAAATGTGTTCTCAATTCTCTATTTGTACTTTATTTTATTTTTTCAATTCTTTAAGCATTAAAATTTACTAGAAAACCATGGGACCACGGGATAATCTTATTTTTAGTGAGAGGAATAGTAAAATAAACCAATTGCCTCTGGTCAAAGAAACCAGATTTCAGAGAAGATTTGTATGAAGCACTTGGTCAGCTAGAATTACTGAATTCAAATAAAAAGCCTTAAAACACCCTCCTCCACTGGATAACCTTGCTTTGAGCTTTGTTGCTTCAATTTTAGACAGCAAAGTACATGCAAGAACTAGAAATGTTTCTTATAACAAGACACATGACGTCTAATATTTTATATGTTCTTGCCCTTCATGTATTTCTTTATTGAAGATGGAATTGACTTCTTCTTCTTCTTCTTCTTCTTCTTCTTCTTCTTCTTCTTCTTCTTCTTCTTCTTCTTCTTCTTCTTCT